TCATACACACACACACTCATACACACACACACTCATACACACACACACTCATACACACACACACTCATACACACACACACTCATACACACACACACTCATACACACACACACTCATACACACACACACTCATACACACACACACTCATACACACACACACTCATACACACACACACTCATACACACACACACTCATACACACACACACTCACACACACACACACACACACACACACACACACACACACACACACACACACACACACACACACACACACACACACACACACCTGTTAAAACACATGTATGTTCAGATTTACATCAGATTTACACTTGTACAAATACATATACATACACACATACATGTGCTAATACATATATATATGTGTATATATATATATATATATATATATATATATATATATATATATATATATATAATATGTATTTGTATATGTGTATATATGTATGTGTGTGTATATATATATATATATATATATATATATATATATATATATATATATATATATATATATATATTAATGCATATATACATATTTATATTCACCTACATTAAATGCATACAAAGGTTTACACACAAACTCTTTGTGTCCATATTCACATACAAATATATGATATTTTTATCAATAATATGTATCCATTGTCATTTATTGGAAGTGAGTGAGAGAGTCTGCGAAAGGAAATGAGTCTGGCTAATTTACAAGAGATGTCACAAGTCCTGTTACTCGTACCTACTTTTATTGCCCATGAACTATGAAATTGTGCATGTATTAAGGAGACGAATAATGAGTATATTCACCATGCTCATTATTGTATGTGTGAACACTTGCTCATCTATGTATAGATTTTATACATTTTTTCACATCCTCTTTTCTTTTTTCTTTACACACAGTCACCAGCAGATAGGTTACATAATACAGCCACAAATGAAAACAAGATTTGATTATAGCAAAGGCGTGCAGTGGAACTGCAATAGATCAGGGTTGCTCTTTGGATATGCAAGAAATTGGTAAGCAAAACCTGCTGCCAAGGACTTCACTTTTGGTCGTTGTTCTCAAAAGAGGAAATTTAAATCAAAATAACTGTTATCTGCCCACAATGAATGGGAATACATGCTGGCTAGAGGGAGTAAACACAAATGATTTTCTCTGAATATGTATGGGGGTTGGCTCTTGGAGTACGTACCCGATGCATGACGGGGAGGAGGGAGAAGGCAAGCAACGCAGGACCAGAGTGAAAAGCCATCTAGCTGCCCTGTTATCCTGATGGAAGGAGGACTTGCTGGAGGGAGCAAACGAGCGAAACAGGAGAGATTGAGAGAGAGGGAGAGAGAGAGAGAGAGAGAGAACAGGTGGCAGGCAGATGGTGATGACGATGACTGCTCCCAGGGGCATTTGGCAAACTCTTACAAGTGGCATTTCTTTGTTGCAGGCAGTGTTGTGTTTGGCCTGTCCCGTTTGTGGTAAAACCTTTGGTGGGCGCAACCGGAAACAGAACCTGGGATTCCATTTGATGATCCACACGGGAGAAAAGCGCCACCAGTGCCCTTACTGTCCACACAAATCGACCCTTAAATTCAATTTGATCAAACACATTCGCAACATTCACGGTGACATGATGAATCCGATGGCACTAGAACACCAGTTTCAGGGTTTGGAGCCAAAACAGTGGGAATGATGGAGGGTTCGGTGAATATGGCTGATCCTTGAGAGTTTTCAATTATGGAGATCATTATTTATTTTTATTATTTTTTTGCAACGTATTGCCATTGCTTTCTTAATAATGATGATAATAATTGTAAGTGATTACTATTATTATTGTTGTTATGGTTACTTAAGTTATCCTTGATTATTTATGCATTTATATTATATATTATTCTTTATCTGTTTAAACTCTTGCCACTGTTAACATGATACTGGAATAGATTTTGAAGTAATAGAAAGTAATTAATTTCATATTAAGGCTTTGACTAGAGACAAGCTGGGGGAGAGGCAAGATAGGTTTTGGTATTAAGTGTGATTGTGAATATTATCCTGGTCACAGACGTGATATGTGAAACTGGTATTGATAACAGACCATCAGTGTTTTAACTTTTTTATTTGAATTTATTTATTGTTTTATGATTATTATTATTATTACTATTATAATTATTATTATTGATGAATGTGTTGTTTTATTGGAGTGTTGTTTCTGCCTTAGATAGACCTATATACAAATCTAATATATATTAATAGATAGTAGAAGGTGATGGATTGATGGTGTAGTGATGGTATGGTTGATGTGGTGGTTGTGACTGTGGTGTTGTGTTGCAGGGCGTTGCCCCTCGGGCCCTGATGTGTCCCTTCTGCAACAAGGTGTTTGCCGGGCGCAACCAACACCAGCGGCTGCGGTATCACACGCTCACCCACACCGGCGAGAAGCCCCATGCCTGCCCCTACTGCCCTCACCGAGCCAGACTCAAGTTCAACCTGCATAAGCACATCCGTGCTCTCCACAAGGACCAGCTGGCTGCCAACTGTCCCCCAGCTGAGTTCTGATGCCTCCCTCTGGCCCCAGCCCTCGAGGCTTCGCGTGCCACTACTCACACCTAGTTGTGGAACTTGCTATCTCTCCAGTGGGGGCTCTGTAGTTTTACCTCTGTGCTTTTTTAAAAACTTAAAAAATGGAAAAAGTTTCAGTTTGATTTGGGCTTCATGGAGATAGACGAAGGGAAGCACAAGGGGATGTGATTCACAGTTTAAAGTTTACATAGGCAGTGTTGTGCACCAATTCTTTTGTCTCAAGCATTCTTGTGTTTGTATATATCAAAATTTGGGTTTCAAGTTAAATTGTTAAAGTATTCATTGACAACCTGTGTCTTTATTGATCATTAATATATACAAGTTTTTTTTTTTCCTCTCCCCTCTATATTCTCTTATTTTTTTCTAGTGAAAAATTTTTGCTTTTGTTATGGGTTTTTTTAAGTTGTGTGCTGATCTTCTATTACCATGATGCCTGTCATATTGCATCTTTTTCTTCTTTTCTCTCCTTTTTATTTTTCCTTTTCTTTTTTAATGACCCAAGTGATGTTCCCTTCTTTGTGTGGTGGGTGTGCAGGAGTGATGGATGCTCCCCTCTCTGTTGCAGGCGGTGGCGCCAGTGGTGTGTCCCGTCTGTGGCAAGAGCGTGAGTGGCATTAATGGCAAGCAAAAACTCAGGTACCATATGCTGACCCACACTGGCGAGAGACTTTTCCAATGTCCACACTGCCCGCACCGTGCTAGCCTCAAGTTCAACCTCAATCGCCACATTCGAACAGTGCACAGAGACTTGCAGAGTTCTCAGGCGATTCAGCTGGAGAACTGGAATGCAAGGAATATCCAGACGTCCAATACAGAGACTTGGAATCATTGATTATTTAAAACACGAGTGTCAGTTCTCATAGCAGAATAACTGGAGTAAAAGAAAGAAAAAAAAAGGCCACATTGTATGTCTTTGAGTTAAAACCCAAATGTCGTACACCAACAGCCATGCATGAGCAAGATGTGAAGATGTAAATTGGCCTGAACCTATTCTGACTGAGTAGTGTGGCGAGATGGGGATAATAATGCTTTTCTCCCATTTTCTTTTGACTCAGTCTGATAAGCAGATGGGGTTCCATCCTTTGCAGACCTTAGTGGTAGAGGGCTTCAGATGGTGTCATTCTTTACAGGGCGGGGGTCGCAGCGGGAAGCTTGGTGGGGGTGAGGCCGAGGCGCTGGCCTGCTCTGTGTGTGGCAAGCTCATCACAGGTCGCAACCGTCGACAGCGTCTCCAGTATCACCTGTCGACTCATTCAGGAGAGCGCCCCCACCACTGCCCTTTCTGCCCCTACCGTGCACATCACAAGTTTACTTTGGATCGGCATGTTCGCACAGTCCATAGAGATCACTTCGTCCTTAGAGATGCCCCTTCCACACATGGCGTAGCACAGACGCTGCCATCCTCCACTGTTTCTGAGGGAGCCCCTCCTTCAATGGGCCCCTCCATCACTATGTCTGGGTTGGCCCGGCTAATGGAGGACACCCAAGGGGTTGCAGATCACACTTGATAAAAGATTTATGAGTGGCCATTAGTGTTTGGTAGTTCTCTGGGGATTGTGGCATGTGTTCCTGTAAATAATAGTAATAAAAAAAAAAAAAAAAAAAAGATAAAAAAAAGACCTTTGAGATTCTTTGTGGAAGTGCACGTGTTACTCACATCTTTTGTGTTAGAGCGCTGTGTGGACATGCTGGAATGGCTAGTGTCTCCGTTCCAGGGATCGTTGGCAGCGATGGGTGTGACCTCTGAAGAGCGACTCCTGGTGTGCGAGGTGTGTGGGAAGGAGTTCAGGGGCAGAAACCTGCGTCAGCGGCGCGAGAGCCACCTTCTTACACACACTGGCCTGCGACCCCATGTCTGCCCACACTGCCCACATCGCACTGCCCTCAGGTCCAATCTCATCAAGCACATCAGAGCCATACATCGAGTCCCACCACCTCACTCAACTACACAATAGGGGTCATGGCAGAGCTGGGTGTACTGTAGTTGAAGTAATTGATATTTGCTGTAATCTCCAGACCATGACAAAATTAGATCAGTAAATAAGTATTAAAGGACTTGAATTTGCTCTAAGGAGATTTTCATTTGTCTTTCTTTCACTGTTTGGAGCCTATTGATTCACCAAGCATTTCCTCTACCCCCCCTCCCCCCCTACACTGACTCCCCCACTCCCCCTTCTCCCCCCCACTCCCCCTTCTCCCCCCCACTCTCCCTTCTCCCCCTGATCATCACCCTTGATTGAGATTCTCTATCAGTGCTTTCCTCTGTTGTTATAACTTGCCATGAACACTTGGAATGTTATAAACTACTAGAAGAAACAATACTAAAGAATTATTCATACTGGGAGCTTCACAATGTGAAGTTTCTTTCATAAACGAATGTTAGTTTATGAATTCTTATGTTCTTAATTTTCAATGTCTTTTCTTTTTTTTTTATATAGTATTGTTATAATGAGTTTCTTGTGAACTATCAGAAGAATATTTTTTATCATTTGTTAAAAAGCCCAAGATTGGTAACTAAAGTAAAGAAAGTATTTATATAAATATATATATACACACAGAGAGCATAGCTTCATGTCTCTTATTGGTAGGTACACTTAATACAAGGAAATTTGTTTGCTAGTATTCTGTGAATGAGTTTGTCTTGCTTGTTATGAACACACAATGTAACTTATTGCATGCTGAGCGGATTTAGGGAATATGCTGCTGTCTCTTCAAGTTTCCTCCTGTCATTTGTAAACCCAAAGATTCTTTGTTTTATTTTCAAATTGTATAGAGGCAAGTTTCTTGAAATAGTTTGAAGAAAATGGAGAAAGAGAGAGTTTGTATGTGACTCTGTAGTTAATTATTGAATAAAATGTATATTTGAAGAAATAAAAAGTTTTATGAAAAACAAACCTTCATGTAGTTGTTCTCAGATGGAGTGGTTTTGCTTAAAGAAAAAGAAAAACGAAAAAATGTAATTCGATAATATGGTGTGAAAGTAAGCTCTGTAGGAGAGACTTGAACAGAAACAAAAGTATTGATGGCCCAGTGAGAGATCATCAGAACAGGAATTTTAATGTCACATAAATTGCAAAGAAGTCATGATGGGTAGGGATGGGGAATATAATGAAATCACTTAAGGATAACCCTCAAAAGAGAGTTAACAAAGATCCCTGCTTTACTGTTGATAAATTCATAACTTAAGGCATAGGCTCGTACTTGAAGCGGCAGCCACTGAGTGCGTGGTTTTGTTACAGGGGCTGATTGGCAGCGTAGTGGGGCCTGAGGAGCCTAGGGAGTACCTCACATGCCCAGTGTGTGGTCGCTGCATCACAGGCAAGAACTGTCGACAGAATCTACGCCACCACCTCCTCATTCACACTGGAGAGAAACCGTACACTTGCCCGCACTGCCCACACAGAGCCAATTATAAGCCCAATCTCCTCAAACACATTCGGTCTGTTCATGGGTCTTCACAGGGGCAGGCTCTCTCCTCAGGGTCTTTCTCAGGCTTGTCCAGTGCTCCTGCTGCACCTACTTTCCTTCCCACGTCGGCGAATCCTCACATTTCTAATCAGGATTAAGCTTTGGGTGAAGCAGAACTAAGTAAGGAAAAAAGCATGTTATTCAGATGATTGTAGAAAATTGCATTGTTTGGTTGAAGGTTCTGTTAACCTGCAGAGCAATTATTAAAAGATATTTCACCTTTGCTGAAAGACCAAAAGGGCTGGACTTTGTTTCCTCCACTTTAAGCCCTGTAGTTGGTCATTGGTCGTTGGTTATCCGAGGAAGAGAATGTTTGTGCTGAGGGTGTGTGTTTGCTTTGCAGAGTGGCTGTGAGGAGAACGTTGTGGTGTGCAGCGAGTGCGGCAAGGTGTTCTCTGGTCGTTCCAGGAAGACTAATTTGAAACAGCACATCCTGACTCATACGGGCGAACGACCCTATCTTTGCCCGCACTGCCCGCACAGGACTAACCACAAGCCAAATCTTGTCAAGCACATTCGAGTAGTGCATAGAGCTCCTGCGGTCTCTTCCATGCCAGCTGTCTTTACAACACCTGATGCTTACTCCCATTTGTAGATTACTGTTATCAGGTTAACTGAAGATTAGAAATATTTTAATGATTAACAGAATAAAAGCAACAACACAACAACCAAAACTTGTTGGATAAAAATGTGGAATTAAAAAGATCCTAAAGTTGATGTGGCTTGTTCATTCGGCTACTAAATATGTATGGACCGGGTTTGAGCTGAGGGTGTGTGTTTGCTTTGCAGAAAGGTTGCGGGGACAATGTTCTACAGTGCAACGTGTGTGGCAAGTTGTTTATGGGCCGATCAAGAAAGAATAACCTGAAGCAGCACTTACTGACTCACACTGGGGAGAGACCACATCTGTGCCCACACTGTCCATACCGCAGCAGCCATCGCCCCACTCTGAGAAGGCACATCCTCACAGTCCATGCTAACCTGGTTCACCAACACGCACAAGCACAGTTCAGTCCTGCCTCCTATTCATTCACGAGATGAAGGATAGACTCCTCCTCCTTATCCTAAGTAGGCAGTGGAAAGCAAAACCTGATTCTGCTGCAGAGCTACTGGCATTTTGTATCAAGACTTGCTTCTTGTTCTGCCATGTTCTTGAAGTAAGAGAAGGTATTGACTTTTAGTGATGAGAACCTTAAAAACATGAGTGAGGTTTTAAGTAAGCAAGATTTTACAACTGTATATAATGAATAGCTTATCCACTTTCAATTGTATTGATATTCTCTCTTTTTTTTTCAAACTTAATGGTGCTATTTTTATATTCCTTACTGTTATTATTGGTTCTCTTTGTTCTATATGTGTGATTTTCAAATTCTGCCTTAAGAGGTGATTAATAAGGCATTGAAGATGATTGCAAGTTATGAAAGGGAAGAGATGTACCAGTAATACTTAGGATGACAAGGGAAGATAAGGAAGTCACTAAGACTTTGTGTTTACTATTGACATGCAATCCTTTGGGCAAATATGGGCGGGCTGATGCGGTGCCTTGTCTTTGCAGGCAGGCGTGAGCTCGAGAGGCAGTGGGGAGGCGATTTTGTGTCCAGTGTGTGGGAAGATAATCAGCGGGAGGAATAAACGTCAGAACCTCCAGTACCACATGATCACGCACACAGGCCACAAGCCCTTCCAGTGTCCCTACTGCCCACACCGTGCCAATCGCAGTGATAACATGAAAATACACATTCGCTCACGCCATCTGAGACAGACCTCCTCGACCAAATCCCTGACCTCAGAACCCTCCCAACCCAACCCAACACAAGTAGTTGAGGCCAACTCATTAGAGAGTCAGATTCAGGACCAGGCCACCTTGTCTGTGCTAAAATCTTTTGATGCTGTAGATCATGACTTGGGGGACTTTTAGAGATTTGGTAGACCATTGCTTAGGCTGGTAAGACTTGGACAACTTGCTCTTTGTTATATAACAGTGCTACAATTTTTAAACAGTATGTAGCTGAGTGCATGGTGGTGTGGTGCTAAGAAGAGGGTGTTCTCTGTTGCAGGGGGCGATAACCAACGACGTGCCCCTGACGTGCCACGTGTGCAACAAGGCATTCTCTGGCAGAAACAAGAGGCAGCACCTTTCCACCCATCTCAACATTCATACGGGCGAGAAGCCCTTCCACTGCCCCTTCTGTCCCCACAGGGCCAACCGCAAGGATAACCTCGGGCGAGAAGCCCTTCCACTGCCCCTTCTGTCCCCACAGGGCCAACCGCAAGGATAACCTCAAGACTCATATGAAACTGAGGCACCTGGAGGAACTTCCAGGAAATATAGGTGGGGAGATAATGAGGCGATTCCAAGACTCATCCCATGCTTCGGGGCACACGTAAATGGCCGCAGACTTGTGTAACTTCCCGAGGCCGGAGGAGTCTGTGTAGCCTCCCTTCTGTCTGTTCTATTGCTATCCAAATGCATCAAGAGGAACTTGATATCCTGAGGGGTGGATGTATTCTCTTTCCAGACCATGCGTCCGCCCTTGATGTGTCCTGTGTGCCGTAAGGTCTTCCAGGGCAGGAACCGCCGCCAACACCTGAGTCACCACATCAAGACACATACGGGCGAGAAGCCACACATGTGTCCCTTCTGCGCCCACAGAACCAGTCGCAGAGACCATTTACGAGAACATATAAGAAGCATTCATGGGGTGGATGTGGCCCTCTCCACCATGTCTCAGTAAATAATTGTGATGGTGGCCAGTACACATGGAGGCACCCATAAATAAAAGCACGCAGGAGTAGGCTTACTCTCAAAAAAGGAGGACATAATCCAGGGCCTTATTGTACGTATAGACAGCCAGCGAGAGTGGATAATGACTACCTGGATGGAGGGCATGTCACTGAGAGCACGGTGTTTTGTCTTTTCAGGGCAGGCATGACATCCCAGTGGGCATGTCGCTCGGCACAAAGGTCCCCAAAGTATGCCCAGTATGCGGCAAGTTGTTCAACGGGCGCAACAAGCAGCAGCACCTTCACTACCACATGATGACACATACAGGAGAGAAGCCCTTTCACTGCCCTCACTGCCCCCACCGTGCGAACCGCCTCAGTAACTTGAAGATCCACATCAAAACAAAGCATGGGACTCCAAACTAAACCAAATATAAAACAACAACTTTTTGAAATGCTGGAAATTACTTAAGTTTAAACACAGTTTTGTTCTTGTTTCAAAAGGAGGAAGAAAAAAAGAGAATAAGAAAAAGTAACTTTTCTCAGTTGTGCAGTTGACAGGATTCTGAGTAGTTGAAAGGGAAGGTTTAGTGTAACATTACTTTTGCATCAAGTGCTTGTTTAACAACTTGTGTCCTCTGGATAACAGTGGAAGATTCTTATGATCTCAACAATAGACTAAAAATAATAATGATTTGTGCTACTCATTCATTTCCCGCGCTTTCTGACTGTCATTTCAGTGTCTCTTTTGTCATTCTTGTTATCTTGTGCTGTTTCACCATTATTCTGGTTCATTCATATTTAATTCATAAAAATCATGCCCACTTAAGTCTCACTAAGACAAGCACACACTGATCCACCCACAAACACTCCATACACAACTCCCTATCTTCTCTACCTCTCCCTGTCTGTCTCTTCTTCCTCCCCTCCACCCCCCTCCCTCTCCTTCCCTGCACAGTCTCTCCCCCTTCCTCTACCCATCATCCTTCTTCTTCTTCTCCTTCTTCTCCTTCTTCTCCTTCTTCTCCTTCTTCTCCTTCTTCTCCTTCTCCTTCTTCTCCTTCTTCTTCTTCTCCTTCTCCTTCTCTTCTTCTCCTTCTTCTCCTTCTTCTCCTTCTTCTCCTTCTTCTTCTTCTTCTTCTTCTTCTTCTTCTTCTTCTTCTTCTTCTTCTTCTTCTTCTTCTTCTTCTTCTTCTTCTTCTTCTCTCTCTCCTCCTCCTCCTCCTCCTCCTCCTCCTCCTCCTCCTCCTCCAGCTTGTGCGTTGCTACCTCTCTACCCGTCCCTCCTTTCCTCTTTCTTGTCCCTATCTCTCTTTCCTCCTCTTCCTTGTCCCTCCAACCGACGAACACACTCATTTATACATTAAATAATTCACACATTCATTCACTCACTCATTTATTCGTTCACTCTTTCATCCAGACTTCTTCATCCTTTTCCTCTTCTGGCTTCAACATCAGTGTAATAAACTATTAAAAAAACAGATTATCAGTTACCCTGTCCAATACAGTAGCGTTATTCATGTAGTAAAAGTGTAATGTTATTGGTTTTAGAAGAGTATTCTTTTTAAGTCTTCTATGTAAATAAAGAAAAGAGGATTTCCGGTTTATTTTTTTCCAGCCTTTTTGCCAGAGAATCAAAGATAATGCAGAAGCTGTTAATGGCAGTGTTTTTTTTTTTTGTTTTTTTTCAATAGGATATTACTAGATAAAAGAAAAATGGGGAGACGGAAAAACAGCTGTAGAGCTTTCAGGCAGAGCCGAGCTTGATCTGACTCACGTGCGTGTGTGTAAACATAATGTATATATATGTATGAATGTATGTATACATATACACGTATATATACATATACGCGTGTATATATATATATATATATATACACGCATGAATATATATACACATACACATGTATATACACATGTATATACATATACGTATATACATCAATATATGTATATTGTATATACATATATATTCATATACATATATACGCATACACCTTCATACATACATACATACACACACACACACACACACACACACACACACACACACACACACACACACACACACACACACACACACACACACACACACACACACACAATATGCATTATGTACACATAAATGCATAATATACATATATATGTATACACATATATTGCATATTACATATTTATTATATATGATTTATAATATCACACACACAAGCACACCTACACATACCTACACAAGCACACATACGCACATATACGCACATATACACAAGCACACATACGCACATATACACAAGCACACATACGCACATATACACAAGCACACATACGCACATATACACAAGCACACATACGCACATATACACAAGCACACATACGCACATATACACAAGCACACATACGCACATATACACAAGCACACATACACACATATACACAAGCATACATACGCACATATACACAAGCACACATACGCACATATACACAAGCACACATACGCACATACACAAGCACACATACGCACATACACAAGCACACATACGCACATATACACAAGCACACATACGCACATATACACAAGCACACATACGCACATATACACAAGCACACATACGCACATATACACAAGCACACCTACACAGATATACACAAGCACACGCACATACACACAAGCACACGCACATACACAAGCACACTCACACACAAGCACACACACCTACACACACATACACAAGCTTATATATCTCGCAGTGATTAAACGGCAATGGCTAAGTGAGAACATAGTATGATGCAAACGTGCATATTTGAAAGAGGAGAGAAATTCAGGAGAATTAGACTCCCTCTAGCACATGAATAATGGCATTGCATATGCAAGCAGGCAGTGAAATTAATTGCCTTTGAATGGGTTAAAATGTTTAGGAGGAAGGACGGTTAACATTCATTTAGTGTTTCGTTGTATTTTGGGCTTGAGCAATGTCATACAATGACGACAGCGTATGGGATTTTGCGTTTGGTGAAGGGGTTTGGGAACTTGATGTATTCGGGGTTTCATTGGGCCTCAGGGAACAGAGCTTCGATTTTAACGTATACCTGTTGTTGTTCTCATTATTTATCTCTTGATTCACACAAAAAGCCTTAAGTCATCACCATGATAAGCACAACAACAAAAGAGAGCTGAGGGCAGTGGCAGGCGTTCGGCCGCGGGCGGCGTCCCTGCCCGCGGGTGCGGCCTCCGAGGGGAGCCAAGTGTGTGTGTGTGAGGGTGACACTGATGGCGGCGTTGTGTCGTTGCAGATGCGGGGGGCGGAGCGGATTGCCACGTGTCCCGCATGCGGCAAGGCGTTCCGCGGCCGCAATCGGCACCAGAACCTGCAACAACACATGCTGACCCATACCGGGGAGCGGCCGTTCGCGTGCCCCCACTGCCCCTACACGGCCAGACAGAAGCCGCACATGAAGGGCCACATATTGCGCTTGCACCCCGAGGCCGTGGGCGCCGCGCTGCCCAGCTCGCTCTGAGCCACCACGTGGGCGGACGGGTGAGGCGGCACGTGCAGCGCCCTCGCCCCGCCCGTCCTCTCGAGCTGCCATGAGGGAGCCGAAAGATAACCTTGGTTTAAAACATGCCTGGGCTCATTAACAGGGAGCACTTTAAACTTTTTTTTTTTTTTTTTTTTTCCCAGGAGATCACCTTAGTTTTGCCATTAGTTGGACCTTTATGATTTTGTATTGATTTATGTTCATTAGAGGAGTGGCTTTGTGCTTGTGGAGGAAGCAGGGCTGCAGTAGGTAGAGCTGAGTGGTGTTGTGTTGCAGGCCGGCGGTATGGTGGCGGCTGCCGTGGCGGTGGTGATGTGCTGCGTGTGCGGCCGGGCGTTCCGGGGCCGCAACCGCCACCAGAACTTGAGCACGCACATTCGCATCCACACGGGCGAGACCCCCTTTCCCTGCCCGCACTGCCCGTACCGCGCCAAGCGCAAGGCGCATCTGCAGATGCACCTCGAGCGCATCCATTCCCCCCGGGCGGCGGCCTCCTCCTGGCGCGACGGCCCCCCCTCGGCCCGCCCCCCGCAGCCGCCCGGGCCGCCCTCGCTGCCGCCGCCGCCGCGCGCCGCCACGCCCCCCCTGCAGCCCGGCCTCCCCCCGGCGCCCCGGCTCGCGCACTCGGCCTCGCCGCAGCAGCCCTGAGCCAAGCAGCCTGCGCCCTTGCAAAGAGCGTCTTTGAGAGCATTGCAGTGACTAGCCCTAGAAGAGTATAATGTTAAGAGCCATGTTTGTAGCTGACAAGTAGTCTTACAAGGGACTCACCTAGTATTGGCTTACATCCTAAAATTCCTTTTTGAATCATCCTTTTAAGTATGCAAAGTATTTTGTTGATCTCTAGCCTTGGATTTAATGATGTTAAGCAAGTGTGCAGTGTAGGAGGGTGACCGAGGCAGGTGATGCCCGGCGCGTGCCAAGGGTGTGAGGGTTGATGTGTTGTCGTTGCAGGCGGTGGGCGGCGGGGGCGGCGCAGCGGTGTGTCCAGTGTGCGGGAAGGCCTTCCAGGGGCGCAACCGCCGCCAGAACCTGGCCCACCACCTGCTAACGCACACGGGTACCCGGCCCTTCCCATGCCCCCATTGCAGCTACAGGGCCACTCAGAAGGCGCACCTCAAGCGCCACCTGGAGCGCAGGCACGGGCAGGCGGGCGAGCGGCTACACGCCGCCCACGGCGCCCACCCCGCGGGCGCGCTGACTCAGGGCTTGGAGGCACAGGAGGTCTCCGCCGAAGGGACGTCGCAGCCCTTCACGCCTTTCCCTTAGACGAGTAGACGCTGGGGCCGAAGGTGCATTTCTCTGGGACGGTGAAGCAACCACGTTTTCTTTTCTTTTCTACTGAATGTATTCCTACATTACCGGTATAAATAGAATATCTCATTTTGAAAAAGTGATTCATTATGGAAATGTGTACAAATGTTTTTATTATTCAATAAACTTCATAATATGACATATCGTTTCATTGGCCTCTATAAGTGCTTGGTATCTGTTTCCCTTTTCGAAAACTTCCTGAAAGATTAGATAAGCCTATAAGTCGAATGACATTTTTTCTCTCCTGCATATCCACACACATCCAGTCACGGGAGCGGAGAGACACGCAGACACTGCAGAGGAAAGCTAGACCCTTCTGAGACCTTCCTCTTGCCGAGCAGGGCCGGGAGGGAGAGGGCAGGGCAGGGCAGGGCAGGGCAGGGCAGGGCAGGGCAGGGCAGGGCAGGGCAGGGCAGGGCAGGGCAGGGCAGGGCAGGGCAGGGCAGGGCAAAGGAAAGCAGGGAGAGGAAGAAGGGGAGTGGGTGGGCCTGTAGTGAGGTTGTGGCTTCGGGGGGGCATGGGTGGGGGATGGGGTAGAACGCTTGCAGGGAGGTAGTTCCTTGGGGGGGGCGGGGCGCCGACAGTGCACAGGTGGTTGGATGAGAAACTGATGCCGGTGCCCTTGTGTGTTGCAGATGCAGCCGGCTCTGCTGTATCGCACACAGGAGACCGCGGCACAGCTGCAGCAGCAGGGATACCACCAGGAGCCTGCGCACAGAGCGAACGTGTGCGACTTCTCCTGCCCCCTGTGCGGGAAGGAGTTCCACGGCGTGAGACAGAGACGCAACCTGAAGCGTCACCTGATGATCCACTGGGGGGAAAAGCCCTTTCACTGCCCGTTCTGTCCGCACCGGTCCAACCAGAAGAGCAACCTAAAGACGCACATCCTCAAGGCGCACCACGTCCAGATCGCGGCGCACGGCGAGCCCAAGGGACAGGCCGACCCGATCCGGGCCAAGCTGGCCGATTAGGGTGGCAGGAGGACTCGAAGGGGAGATCTGGAGGGGGAGGGCGCGATGGGGAGGTCGTGAGGTGGAGGTCTGAAGCGACAGGTTTGGAGGGCGAGGTTTCGAGGGGGAGGTCCGGAGAGAGAGTTTTGGAGGGCGAGGTCTCGAGGGGGAAATTGAAGGAGGTCGGGGGTAGAGCGGGCGCCTTCTTCGTGGGAGATTCAGCGGGATTTTATTTCTCTCTTTTTCTTCGAAGGGAATCTTAGCGGTGGTTCTTTTTTAGTGAGCATTTTGGGCTTTTATTTTTATTTTTTTGATTAGGGAATTAGCTGTGAAACTGTTGATACCACAGTGATTGGTATCTTGTGATTGATTAGAGGCAATGAAGCATCTTGTGATTTCTGGGCCTGTTAGTTTTTTTAAGGATTTTTTATTCCCCTTGTTTTGTTGATTTTTGGCTTTGAATGATGTATCACATGTGTGGCTGTGGGTGAGACCAGGTGGAAGGAAGTCCGAGTGGCGAGGTAATCGAGGGAGAGAAAGGCTGTAGGCTTGTTTACTTGTGTTGCCAAGTAGTAGTTTCCCGTATGCTAGCCTGTTGTTTTGAGGAAGCTAAGTAGCATGGTAGCAGTGACCGCGGACCTGGGCGGCTCGACTAAAAGGGAGCCTTGTTTTACAGACTCCGGCGGCCCCGCACCTCGCGCTCCCGCCCCAGCCCCACCAAGCGCTGCAGGCATACCCGGCCCGCCCTGCCACGCCCCCCGCCCTGCTCGCCTCGGCGCAGGACGACGGCGGCGCGGTCCACTGCCGCTTCTGCGGCAAGGCCTTTCACGGCAGATATGCCAAGTACAACCTCAAGCGCCACCTCATGATCCATCGTGGCGAGAAGCCCTTCGTGTGCCCGTATTGCCCGCACCGCGCGAACCAGAAGGGCAACCTCAAGTACCACATTTTGTCGGTGCACCCTGGGCGGGCCGCCGCGCAAGGGACCCCCGCCGACCAGGCCGACCTCGGCCCCAAGCACGAGAATTTCGCTTCCAGTTAGGCCTGTGGCTCTTGTTGACCTGATGCTTAGCTCTGCCAGTTTCATTTTCATTTCATTTTCTAAATTTATTTTTATGTTGTGTATGTGACCTTCCCGGTGCTTGTGTGACTAGAGTGGAGAGCAAGTGGGCTGTGTGGATGCTGTGTGCAGCCGCCGCTGTGTTGGAGACGGGCACTTAGCACTGTGTCGTTGCAGGGGTCAGGAGGGGTGAGCAGCGGCGATGATAGCCAGGCCGCCCACGCCGCCCCCTTGTGCCAGGCGTGCGGCCGATACTTCACCTGCCGCGCCTCCCTCCGCCGCCACCTGTGGATCCACACGGGGGTCAAGCCGCACGCGTGCCTCCACTGCTCCTTCTCCTGCAACCGCAGGAGCAACCTGGAGCGCCACGTCAAGCGACACCACAGCTCCTCGGTGTCCGACGGAGCCGCCGACGGCACCGAGCCCAGCCTGCGCTCGTCCACCGCGGCGCTGTAGGGGCAGCGGCCGCGAGGACGGGCGGCTGGCGGCGGCGGCGGCGGCCTCTACAGGATGAAAGGTGGTGTTGGTGTGCTTTTGCGTTGGACAGAGAAGGGTCATGGCACTGTACTGCTGATGATGTTCCCTAAATGATGGCTAGGTCAGAGAATTGTTGCCGTGGGTCATGCCAGATAGTTGAAAGAAGCATTGTCTTAAAGACGAGCTATGTTGACCCGAGGAAGCAAAACAAGGACAAAAATTAACGAGGTCATATGTTACTGTTAGACTGTGCCTGTGCATGCGGTGAGAAGGAAGAGTCTCAGGAGCAAGCAGACGAGGTAGATGAAGGTGTAGAGTGAGCACTGCGTTTTGGTTTGCAGAGGCTCGAGGCGGACGTGGCCAGGGCACATAGAGCAGCAGGGACGGCGGTAGTTGCGGCGGCGGCGGCGGTAGGCATAGTCGGTCTGGCTGGCGCGGAGGGGATCACCGCAGACGGCAGGCATCAGTGCAGGCTATGCGGAAGGATATTCACGGAACGGAACAACTTGCAGCGCCACCTGCGGATCCACACGGGCTTCAAGCCGTACCGGTGCCCGCTCTGCCCTTACGAGTCGAACCGCAACGGGAACCTGGTCAGGCACATGGAGTTCAAGCATGGCCGGACCCAGTGAGGGAGGGGAAGCCGCGCGGCCGGCCGGCTTTCCGCGGAGAGAGAAGAAAGCTAAGAGTGTCTTGTGTCGTTTTACTTTTGAACGCTAAGGAGCATCATCTAAGGTTTAATTGTGAGAGAAAAAGAATATTGATATACATATTTTCTTTAGTATGTTTAAGAGAAAAGTTATTGCAGAGTTATAATTGTTATAGATGATAATTTTATACACATGGACAGTGACTCTAGGAAATGCATTTAGAAACAAAAGTACCAACTACGATACCAGTTCTAACAGGGTTGCCGCCAGGTTGTGATAACCGGGGAGCTGCCTGGTTCCTCACCTGGCTCGGCTTATTCACTGTTTCCGTTCTTCCCTTTTCTGTTTTTTATCTGTTTTCTGCTGTTACTTTACCATCGTGTATACTTTAATTTTATATATAATCAGTGGGACAATAAAGCATGTTTTGTGGACATACTACCTTGCTGTTAAATGTTTCATTTCATTAACGTTCGTAGCTCACAGGCATTTTATCTTGGGACACAAAGGTCTCCGCTCGACTATCCTGCTTTCCAAAGACGCCGAGTGCATGATGAAAGCACTGCCAAGCGTAGGGCAAATTACGGGAAAAAACTCAAGCAGACGCCCGTGCTCGACACATCCGTTAGACGGGACTTGAAATAACTGTTTTCGTGTTAGTTCAAGTATAAGTTTCTTAATTAAGGGTGGTTGACGAATTAAAAGTATCACAGTTAATGGGATAACTGATTTTCTTATCCTTCTATAGGTCATCTCCGTTTTCCACAATATCTCTCTCTCTCTCTTTCTTTCTTTCTTCTTTTCTTTCTTTCTTTCTTTCTTTCTTTCTTTCTTTCTTTCTTTCTTTCTTTCTTTCTTTCTTTCTTTCTTTCTTTCTTTCTTTCTTTCTTTCTTTCTTTCTCCCTCCCTCCCCCTCCCCCATTCCCATTCCCTTTGCATTTCCGTAGCTGCCAAAGGCACATTACATATCCAAAGAAAAAAAATACAGAATAGTAGCATTCTGTAAATGCTAGTAAGAACATATATTCTCTATATTGTTGTTATGTTTGTTTTGTTGTTTTTGTTTACGTTTTTATGTATTTTTCCAAAGTTCTTTGTAAACAATAAATTAAAAACATATCGCTTCTCACTTGTAAAATGTAGAAATCAGGTTTGGTTTCAGGATAGCAAGGTCGGCACTTGGGCATGACATTGGCTCCAAAGTACGAACTAAGAGAGCGCAGGTCGTTGCTGTGAACGCCTCCTCTAGCCTTGGCACGAGGTTACTCTGCGTCTCGGGGGAAAAATGCCTGTAAAACTTGAGCAACGAATTTTTAAATTATTATTATTATTTTTTTTTATTCAAAATTTCCATTGGTTATATGTAGTGGAGTTAAAGATGAAATTGAGGGGAAAGTATGATTTAATTTAATGGAAAGTATGAAGTAGAAAAGAGAAAAATAATAATACTGAATAAGTAAGATGATTAATGTAAAAAAAATCCCCGAAACCCCGTCTTTTTCCAACCCTGGTATTGAGTCTTTTGTCAGATGTCTACTAGATAGCAGTGTCACGACGAGTAGGAAAATCAAGTGTCAGTTTCAGGAACCAGTGACAGAAATAATTAAATAAATCGTTCATGTATTCCACGTGCATCTTGCCCTGTAAAGTTCGCCGAAGCTTTTTGTGTAACATGAATGAACCTCAGAAATAAATATACTGGAATATCTTTTCGACTCCTTTTATTGCTGCCATCCTGTGCGTCTGTCTGTAGTAGTGTGTGTTGGTTCAGAGCGAGACTTTCTCGACTCCCGTAACGGGAATAGAAGTAGATTAGACTAATGCCCTGTTGTTAATGCTTCCTAGTTGCACTTAAGTTGCCCTTAGATGTTGAAGCACCAGTTGGTGACGACAACGGCAGGTCTGAGCCTCGCCTTGTGTTGCAGGGAAGCCAGGCTTGTCGGGCAGGACTCGGTACCTTCACCAGCTGCCCCACCTGCGGCCAGCGCTTCCACGGCGTGTACCAGAAGTACAACCTGAAGCGGCACATGAGCATTCACACGGGGGAGCGGCCGTACCCGTGCCCGCGCTGCCCCGCCGCCTTCAACCAGAAGTGCAACATGAAGCGCCACCTCGAGTCTGTCCACGGCGTGCAAGCGGGCGGCGGCCAGGCGGCGGGGGCGGCGGGCCTCCAAGACGCCAATGCCCACGTGCCCGGGGCGGCAGCGGCGGTGGAGCGCGCTGACGGTCGGCCCACCCCCCCTGGAGGCCGACTGGGCGAGAAGCAGGCAGCGGCGCAGGGGGGCGAGTGGGAAGTGAACTGAGGGGGAGCGGACCTCAGGGGGACGCCGGAGAGGAGGACAGGCGATGACCTGGGGGAGGAGACGAAATTTTGATTTTTTCCTCTTTTCTTTATTTTCTTTCGACTTCTTCCATTTCCCTGGACGGGAAGCCTAGTAATGGGCGGATCTCCCCAAGTGGCGGAGGAACAGAAATGTAAGTGGGCGTGGGCGCTGCTCCTCCGTCTTAGTGGCATCGATCTGCCAAGGGAATAGGGGCCGAGGGGCAGATTGGCAGCTCTCCCTTTGTTTTGAAGGCCACTCGACGCCTTGTTTGGTAAACGTTTTGAAGAGTGAAACTGTGGAATCACTTTCATTCTTTCTTAGATTTTTTATACTAAATTTGTATAGATATACCTATGGGTACGTACACTTTTATGTTTATGATACATATGTACTATATGTACACATCAGTTGCGAGCGGGCGGGTGGACGGGCGGCCGTGTGTGTGTGTGTGTGTGTGTGTGTGTGTGTGTGTGTGTGTGTGTGTGTGTGTGTGTGTGTGTGTGTGTGTGTGTGTGTGTGTGTGTGTGTGTGTGTGTCTGTGTGTCTGTGTGTCTGTGTGTCTGTGTGTCTGTGTGTCTGTGTGTCTGTGTGTCTGTGTGTCTGTGTGTCTGTGTGTCTGTGTGTCTGTGTATCTGTGTGTCTGTGTGTCTGTGTGTCTGTGTGTCTGTGTGTCTGTGTGTCTGTGTGTCTGTGTGTCTGTGTGTCTGTGTGTCTGTGTGTCTGTGTGTCTGTGTGTCTGTGTGTCTGTGTGTCTGTGTGTCTGTGTGTCTGTGTGTCTGTGTGTCTGTGTGTCTGTGTGTCTGTGTGTCTGTGTGTCTGTGTGTCTGTGTGTCTGTGTGTCTGTGTGTCTGTGTGTCTGTGTGTCTGTGTGTCTGTGTGTCTGTGTGTCTGTGTGTCTGTGTGTCTGTGTGTCTGTGTGTCTGTGTGTCTGTGTGTCTGTGTGTCTGTGTGTCTGTGTGTCTGTGTGTCTGTGTGTCTGTGTGTCTGTGTGTCTGTGTGTCTGTGTGTCTGTGTGTCTGTGTGTCTGTGTGTCTGTGTGTCTGTGTGTCTTCTGTCTGTCTGTCTGTCTGTCTGTCTGTCTGTCTGTCTGTCTGTCTGTCTGTCTGTCTGTGAGAGTCTGTCTGTGTGTGGGAGTCTGTCTGTCTGACCGTGTGCGTGCGTGCGTGCTTGTATGTTTGCGGAGACGATAAGTATATGATTACACCACCGCATGGACACTGTGTTGTACTACCAACTGTGCATACATCCATATGTAGGTGCGTATATAAGTATACATATATAAATCTAGATATTGGGAGTGTATAGTCGCCATCCATAGGTTGGCCGCGGTGTCTGGATTGAGTAGAACTGTGCGAGTGGATTCGAGCCGCAGGCAGAGGGAGTGTCTCGGGGCGCTCCAGCCCGAATTCATGTGCGCTTTGGGGTGGACTTCAAGAAAACTAGAATATGCCTTGTTTGCTTCCCTAATGCCTTTTTATTTCCCCTGTATGGAACAAGTGATCATTTTATTTACAGTTGCACAAAGGAGTTAATTTTTTTTATCTGAATGAGTTTTTGTTGGGCATTATGTTTTGTTCCGGATGCCCACCTCCGCCGAGAGGCTCGAGGGCGCAGCTGTGGCAGCTGTGTGAGTTGTGTGGCTGCCCGGGCGCCTTGGCCCGCCGCCGAGAGCCCGGGGCCGCGACCCCAGGCTAGCGTCCGGTGTCTGAGAGTCGCTCCTGACCTGGGTGTTATTTTCCAGGTGGCCTCCAGAGACCCCCAGGCTCGTCCCCAAGGGCACTCTCACCTCTCCACCTCAGAGGTCGCCATCGCAAGGGCCCTCCTCACCATCCCCGAGCAGTCAGCTGCTTTCTCCTCGGCGGCGGCGGCGGCGGCCTCCTCCTCCTCCTCCTCGCCGTTTAACCCCTCCGCCCTGCCTAAGCGCACGCTGGCCTCCGCCCCGCGCCGCTCGGGGGCCATGGCCAAGCACGGGGTCTGCGCCGTGAGCGCCCCAAGCGTGAGCATCAGCAGCGCCGGCCATGCCACCCCCATGGCCACCCTGCGCTGCTCCACCTGCCCCGAGTGCGGCAAGATATTCCGCGGCGACTACCACAAGTACAACCTGAAGAAGCACCTGACAATCCACGCGGGGCTCCGGCCGTTCCCGTGCCCCGTGTGCAACCTGGCCTTCAACCAGAAGGTGTCCATGAAGCGCCACTTCGCGTCCGTGCATCGCTCCGTGGACCCCATCGCGCCCGTCAGCCAGTAACCCCGGAGCCTCGTCGGAGGAGGCCGGAGGGCGTCGAGAGGTGCGAAGGGAGCCCCGGGAAGGGCGGGCGTCCTTATCAGTGCGAAAAACAGCTCCGTTACCTTGTTTACGTTTATTTCTTGGCGTCAAGAAGCAAGCACATTCGCTAGGTTAGGGCTTCGGCTGTGTGGTCGGGTCTGGTTGGGGAGGAACGCCAGTGCTGTGGGAATCGACCGACGTGGCTTTTAGTCATGCAGATTATTGCAGATGCTTAGTAGAAAGTTTCAAAAATGCGTAACAACATTGTTATAAAAACAACAAAAAACAGCAAAAAAAATAGCAAAAATAATTATTCTGATTAAAAACTATTCTTAATTCTTACCTATATTTTGTCTACCAACACCACTAGCTTAGCAAATGGTCATTATTTTGCAGGGTGACGTCTTGCTCCCCAGCACATTGAATGACGCCGTCTGTTACGTGTGCGGCCAGAACTTTCTCGGAAACAACCGCAAAAACAACCTGAAGCAACACCTGGCCATCCACTCTGGCCTCAGGCCCTTTCGATGCCACGTGTGCCCTCTCACTTTTGTCAGAAAGAGCCACCTAAAACGACACCTTGCCACATTACATAAATTCTTAATGGACTAGTGTTCAGTGAGGACAGCCTTTGTGTGATCCTGAGGCAGATAGAAAATATATAAATAAATAAACACAAAACATGTAAGCTGTTGGTTTTATTATGGCTGGACACTTGATGCAGAAGCCCTGGTGTCCAAAAGCGGATGACTGAGATTTTTCCTGCCGGCAGGGGTGCAGTTACCTCGGGGAGGGTGCAGTCTTGGCCGTCCCGTGGCGGGATGAGGCGGAGGGGGGCGAGGGCAGTTCCGTCTGCGGTGTGTGTGGGCGGGAGTTCCGCGGAAGGAAGTCGCAGCGGACTTTCAACCTTAAGCAGCACCTCAGCATCCACGCTGGGCTGCGGCCCTTCCAATGCCCGCTGTGCACGCAAGCCTTCAACAGAAAGAGCCACCTCAAGGGCCACCTGCTGGCGAGGCACGGCACCACGTTGCCGCAGTGATATGGCCGCGGTGGGCTAGGGAGCGCGAAACGTTTGGGCAAGAGTATGTAAAACGTGTGTTTGTATATGTTTTATAAGGCTTTCTCTTGTCTTCTTTTCTGTTCTCTCCCTTCTC